GTGATGTGGGGGGAGGCGGCCTTGGCTGGGGGCAGGGTGATGTGGGGGGAGGCGGCCTTGGCTGGGGGCAGGGTGATGTGGGAGCACCGCCTACCTTGAGCAGTTTCATCAGGCCCTCCAGTTGCACCATCAGCTCTCGGCGGCTCTCCTGCAGGGCTGACATCCTCTGCTCCAGTTCGTCCTTCCTCTGCCTGCCGTTGTGCAAACACGTGTCAGTGCCCTGTCCATGCGACTCTACGGGTCAGAACCGGCACTTTGATCCGATTGCCAGAAGGTTTCTGCTGCTAACTATCAGCCCCCAGCCTGGGGGGGCGGGGTACACAACAGCCGGCCACGTTTCTGTGCAGCTCCCTTGGGGTTTGGCTGAGAGGAGGACACATTCATCAGCTCCCTGTAAGGTATGACATAATCCTGATGACAAATAACATATAACCCTTCAAACCCATTGTGACTGTGGCTGTTTTTATAATTATCCTGTATCAGCAGATGTCTATAAACATAAAGACCATTTGGGCCTCGGCATTCTGGGTGAATTCATTTGCATTCAGCGGCTCTGCCATATCTGCTGTGTTGCTGACGGAAATGGGTTCTGGCACGTCCCTGTCCTGGCTCTCCTGCCTGACATTTACAGAGCAAACTGTGTGCCAAGTCAACATGCTTTCTGTAGCCCCCACTAGGGGGTGTAATATCTCACAAAATGTCACAGGTAAACGTCCCTGACGAAGCAAGGTAGGTCCAGAAGATGCAGCCCATCGTCATGATCATATTACACCGTCACTGCACCAAAATTTCAGTCATTAGTGTTATTCTGTGTGAATAACAGTTCCAACTCAATACAAAACTGTATGCATAAACCCCACAAACCAAGATGAGTCTAATGTCACTGAAGTCACACAGTACAGGGTTTTTAGCCACTGAGCACAGAATATGTGATCATCCTGACTACTACATAAGAAAAGAGTTTTTTAGTTCTTTAACATGCAAAAAAACCAGGGCACCCAAATCATTGCCCTCTGCTTGCGATGCAAACCTGGGCAGGTCTCGCAAGCTTACGGGCCAGATCCTACTGGCAGGTGTGATGAACACCGAGCTGGCGGGTGGTAGCTATACTCTGGCTCACCATTCGGGAAACACGGCGCCCCAGCAGCCAAGCTGCCGCAAAAATAACCGCCAGTGAGGTGTTCAGCAGGAAAAGCAAAGCTGACAGGGAGCCGGAGGTGAACAGGTTCTCAGGAGCGCAGGCTGGCAGAGACTCCGCTCAGCTTGCTGTGTTCGTGGGCAGGAGACGCGCATGAACCCAAACCGTACAAAATAACTCAAAGTTGCTGACACACACTGGTCATACTGACGTGTGTGAAGGTTTAAGGCAGGAACAAAAAAAGATTAAAATTTAAAGACAAACGTCATATTCAATGACAGACCCTTGAGCTAAAAAAAAACCTAAATAAAGGTACAGTTTCACCTTCAGGTTAAGGAGTTTGGTGGAAGAGATCCACCCCAAGAACGTGCTCTGTTTCACTTAAGAGCTGTTTTAAGAAAAGTCACTAACTGAGGAAGCTGGGTTTTAAAAGAACAGCTTCTGAAGGTGGAAAATGGGCAGAACAGTCACTCTAATGACCCTTGAACTTTAAGTTTAACGAGAAACAGGTTCTCTTCAGCTGGCCCTTAACAAGTGCGTAATTTTTACTGTGTATATATAACAATGAAGAAACGACTAGACACAAAGTACCAGAGACTGAAGTGACGGCTGATCTCCTTTTAAAATCTAAGCATGAATTGGAGGATAACCTTTTAGAGGGCAGTGAATCCCAACAACACCAGCATGAAAATGAAAAATCATTTAATTCAATGGGAACGAGATGGAGAGAGATGGAGGTGTGGACGGAGAGAGAGGGTCGTTCACCTGAGGAGCCGCAGTTCTGCCAGCAGTGTAGGGTTCTGCTGGGCCTTCTCCGGCGTGGGCTGGGAGGCCTGTTCGTGCTCTAGGCGTAGCCTCTGGATCTCCTGCAGGATCTCCCTGAGAAACCACAGCCGACGTGTGAAGGACACATGGACACCTGCCATCAGCTCCCCCCCCCCCAGCAGACAGGCAGTCCCAGCCCTGCCTACCTGTTTTTATTCTCCAGCTCAGCTATCAGCTGTCGCTGCTGCTTGTTGGCATCGAAGTTGAAGGTCAGATCAGTTGGAGGGCGTTGCTGGATGGGGAAGGAGCGACGAAACACACAAACAAAGGCGCTAAAATGACACAACACGCTCAGCTAATGAACAAGCATTCAGCAAAGAGAAGCTAAAAGAAGCTTAGTTAGTTCACTGGTGGGTCAAATGCCAGGTGGTTAACTGCACTCCAGGGTTGGGGGTGGGCACACCTAACCTTTAGAAACTGGAGTCAAACTATTAGGGTCCATGTCTCCCTCCACCCCCCCAAACTGAGTCTTAGAGGCATGGAGGATGGGACAGGAACCTGACACCTGCATGATGAAGGCCCCTATTCACACGGCTGCTGGCCATCCAACCGCGAAAAGTGCTTCTGCAGCAGTGCGACTCAGCAGCCGACCCAGAAATGCTCCTGGACAGATATGTAAACAGCCAGCTGTTGTGTTTCCGTGGGCGCCTGGAAGGAGGCGCCTGGAAGGAGGACAGCAGGAGCAGACCCTGCCGTACACCGATAACACCGACAAGGGCTGATTAGCATAGATCTGGCGAGGCCGCGGGCAGGACGACGACTCACAAGCAGCTAAAGCAAAGCTGCTCTCTTAAGAAAGCCAGCAAAACCCTTCCCATCTCGCTAAACGAGAGGAAAGCTCTGAGACGGCCTGAGACAGACTCACCTGTGTTGCTTCTTCTAATCCTCACAATGCCACCCAACTGATTTGAACCTACGGTACCAAGGATAACAAAGTCCACCTTCCACAGTACGCCTTCTGCAAGACGTGGGATGGCTTATCGTCTAGGAAAGAGACGCTCTGTATTCTGACCCCCCTCCGCCCTCATTGGATATAGGACCGAGCGGTGCATGCTGGGTAATCCCAAAGAGCAAAAGCTCTCAGGAGCCGGGATGAAAGAGCTGGCCTCCATCTTCCCTGCAGGCCGCCATGCTCCATAACAAGCTCGCCTTCACAGCCTCAGCTCTTCCAGTTCCACTCCCTTTTCAGAAAGATACTCTATTGTGTTTGTCCATCTCTCTTTGCAACCCCAGACAGCACCACTTCTGAGGCGGCTACCTGCCTTCCCTTAGACTAAATACTAGAACAGGCCCAAGCAAAACATAATCCGGACAGACTACAGCAGGGCTCTTCAAATCTGGACCTCGATTCCAAATCCAGGCCGTGTTTTCAGTTCTTCCAGGTAGTTAGTTTAATAATTACTGATTCTGATTGGTCAGAGGCTTCACACCTGACTGACAGGTAAAGGAAGGCTGGAAATCCAGCAGTGTTCAGACCTCGAGGACCGTGATTTGAATAACCCTGGACTACAGTATCCTCAAAATGGTGAGAATGGGGGGGGGGGGGTGTTTGACCACTTCCTGCTAACTTCTTCATTACAGCATACTGTGAATCCGCCCCCATCACGCAACACCACCAGCCCAGCTGCCGGTCCCGGCCACAGTTACTCTGATGCTCGGATAATGGCGGCATCTGCTGCCGTTTCACCCATGAGAACGTCGGACGAGTGTAATGAGGGACCACAGAGAGCAGATGTGCTCCGACTCACCGGCAGGTTTCCCGCCTCTGCGGCGAGGCGTGCGGCGTAGCGGGCGATGAGGCGATGTTCCTCGTCCAGCCGGCTGGGGCTGTCCAGGGTGCTGTAGAGAGGGGGCCAGGCGTCAAGACCACCAACCGAGCCACGTGCCCCCCCAGTACCTGTACTGCTGGTTAGTAATGTAGACCAGCGGACTATTCCATCCAGGCCCTAGACTGAAACTATAAAACTAATTCTGTGCATATTAGACATTGGCCAGTCTGACCTGGTTAATGTTACATCATTCGCAGCCAGAGAACAGACAACAGTCTTTTGGTAAGACGGCACTCAGATATCAGAAATCACACATGTTCAGAATGTTCAGCGTGAACGCTGTGGGCGAACAGATTTATGAAAGCATCTTTAACACTGCGACAGAGAGATTCCACAGGGATTTAACTACAGCTTCTGAAACATAATTAAAGTGAGGAACAGAAATCAGACCCCCCCCCCACCCCTGGTGGAGTGAAAACCTCCCATTATTGGGGGTTAGAGCCTTGGACAGAGATGGAAACATCGCAGCCTTCTGATCAATTGCTGAGAAACGGCAGGCAGCACCACCCTCATTAACTCCAATCAAGTAAAGTAATATCATGTGGCTGTCGTCCTGTGACCGTGGGCCTGACAGGGGAGGGGCGTCTCTTTCTTATGGGACATTCAAAGCCGGGGCCCTGGGTCTGCGCGGTGCTCCGACACTGACCGTGCATTATTCTGCAGGCGAATCACATAGGCGGCTATCAAAGCGTGTTCCTCAGAGGGCTTGTGTGAGGCGGCCGGTCCCTGGGGAGACCTGCTGATGAGGACACATGGCGCGGGGACACACACACACACACGGGGACACGACACACACACAGACACACACATACGGGGACACACACACACACAGACACGGGGACACGACACACACACAGACACACACATACGGGGACACACACACACACAGGGATATACACAGAGACACACAATGGATCAATGGATGGCTGTGGAGACGTAGCAGATAAACCCAAAGTAAAAAGTGTCTATTTAAAGGTCATACATGAGGAGGAAAAGATACCAGGTGACCATCCCAGCAAAAGCTGCGCGGGGGGGGGGGGGGGGATCAAGCTGGTGCAAATGAATGGTGTCTTTTTACGGCCATTCTATCTGATATTGCAGCAGATTGAAAAGACAGAGGATCAGCAGCAGAGGCTTCAGGCTCCTGTCTGCCAGCTGTCGCCGCACTGGGGTCACCGTCAGAGGTCACCTGGTATCTTTTCAAACACACAGAGGAGTGACGTTTACCACTCACGAGGCGATGGAAGCCCTCGGGAACGGACATGGAGATGAGATGCCATTTGAACGCTGGCTCAGATGCTCCCTAATGAACCGTCATAGTATTAATACTGTATTTAACTATGTGTTCATTCCTAATGAATTATTCATATCCCAATCATGTGATACAACTTTTGTTTTCAATTTCGGTATTTATTTGCAGTATTATGCACATAAATAACAGCACAGTGACCCAATAAAATAGCATCATATGACACACACACACACACACACACACACACACAGCGTGGAAGAACACCAGCGATGCTGATTATGCGGCGTGAGTAGGCTGCATTCATGTATCACTTCGCCACAAGTTAAGCGGCCCTAATGCTACAGGATAACACGGCCACATTATTAACCTGTCGAAAGTTCTTTCCCCTCATGGGCCAATACGGAAATTCATTTTCAGTGAGGCAGTGCATTAAATAAGTGGATATGAAAAAGACTGCTGGTTTATTTTGTGTTCTGTTCCTTCCGTATGAAGCCGAAATCCTTGACCTCAGGCTAGGCCATGTAATGAAAGAAAATCTGAAGACAATAAACAAACAGAGGCGTGTCAGGCTATGTCAGAATACTCATTACCCATGGTCTAATTTTACTTTATGTTTATCAGTCCTTTGTTTCTCTGACAGCTGAAACTATAATAGGAACAGAAAACAATGCCTGAATAATTATTAAACTTACAAAACCTCTGATCACAGGCACAGTGTCACAGGCTACATGGCCTGTTGGCCAGATCATACGTTTCCAAGGTCCAAGACAGGCAGAGTGTCGTGGAAAAAAAATCTGGCGACTAACACCAGTTATAAGACGAGCATTTATAAGAGGAGGAACTGGAAGCAGTGGATAAGGTTGCAGCACATGTGTGGTCGTTGGGGGAAACGCCTCTCTCATCCGCACTGGTGCTCAGACTCACTGGAGGCGGGCTAGACGTCAGTGTTGTCCATGCTGCTGCAGAAGCAGTGCAGACCCAAGCAGGTCAAGCACTCAGATCTAATTCACACCCACTTTCCCTGCGGCAGGATGCTCGAAATCCACATGGAAGCTTTAAGAGCCCATTACCGGAATAACGACGGAGAACTTCAGCTCAATTACGGACAGATGAAGAACGGCAATCAGGGTGTGCTCAAAAAACACACTCTGCTGTCATCTCCAAATTTAATAGTTTACCTTGAGAGAGAAAAGCTTCAGACTAAAAGCCCGGGATGGCAATACGGCTGAAGGGCTTTCTGCTGAAACTGGGCCGAAGAGTCCAGTGGCACGGATCCACTCTCTGTGACCCGACACACAGTTACTGGGGCCGGACAAAAACGTCAGCGCTTCCTCCATCTTACGCCACTTAGCTTCCATTTAAAGCGGCCGATCGCTAATGGATATCCCACGGAAGTCTGACTGGAACACGTCCAGGACACTCCGGTCAGTATCACCTCAGCTTTAAAACCGGCATCATTCTTTTAACAGAGAACTGATGTACTTCAAATTTACCCCTTTTCCAAATGAACAGGATAGTACAGAATATAACGCATAAAAGCATGTAAATCAGCCAGGGTCCTGGCAGAACATCTAAACCCTCTTATAAGTCCTGATAAATGGCCTAATCTATCAAGCAGAATGATCCGGAAGGATGTATTCATGTCTATTTCACTCAGAAAGTCTTGACTTCCCAATCACATAGCAGTTGTCAGAAAATATTACTGAAAAAAACTACATTAAAGGTTAATCTTGAAAATTAATTACAGCTGGTTCCGGCTCATAATGGAGTCTCTCAGCCAGTCCTATCGGGAACCCAAAGATGCCGTTTCTGGTTAGGGCTTCATAGAGATGGAACCTGCTTTTAGTGGCATGCTGGTCTCTGGGAGTAGAGCCTCAGTGTGATACCTCCATCCTGCAGGGCTTTATACACATGTAACGGGGAGTCGTCAGCATCACCAACAAACTGTCCTGTACATAGAACAGAGAGTAACTGTAGGTACAGGGAGGACGCATTTTCAGAGAACGGTAATGCAAGTGTCACACGGGGAATCAGGAGAGCTCTGGGGATCCGATTCACTCTCGGTGATTAATTCCCCAGCCTTTAAGCCACATGCTGCACTGAAGATACCACTATAGTTCTTCTGTTCACTTTTACAAACTGAGTCATAAAGAGACTGAAATCACAAGGTTCTGCTGCCAGACAGATCACCTGGGACAGGCCGGGGAGAGTTTGCCGGACCAGAATACGCACTATGGGAAACATAAGAAAGTCAAAGAACAAAGGAGGCAGGATGGAATTGTAGACACGGTGCACAGAAAGGTGTTTGGATAAACAATGAGAGGGGAGTGAGACTGAGAGGAGCAAAGCATGAGCAGCACCTAGACAGGCCCAAGTGGGGGGTCACGGTCTCACATTCAGAGAGATGGATGTGTGAATATGGGTGCTTTCACACCGCAGGAACCAGAACCATTCACCTCAGGAACTCGACCAACTATAGCTCCTGGGAGGCAGTTCCAGAACTCTTTTTTAGTACCTACTCCAGAGAAGGTACTTTTTGTTTGAACATGAACTGCTGGGGAGGACCTTATAGCAATAAACTTGCTGACTAGTTTGACCACAAGCACAGGCGCTAAGTTGAAAGTTATGCAAAAAAGTTGGGAAAGAAGATATAAATGGTGGAGCCAAAATTGAGCAGATGGCATTATTTTTGTATTGCAGTTACATTTAATGCATCAATGAATACCTTTTCGCTTGCGTCTCCATATTTCTGCCTCGGGAAATTCGATTGCTAACCAAAACACTTTTGTCTAACATCGCTGGTGTAAGCGGTGAAACTTGCCAGCGCTTATTAGTGGGATAATATTACATAATTTTTTTTTATTGTGAAAACGAAAGATCGATCTACTGGCCAGATTTAATAATGAATTATAAACATGTTGTGGGTCATATAAATAAAAGAGTGTTTTGATAGTTATTGGGGGGATTGGTTGCTAAAAAAAAACCCCAATAAAATTGTTCATCCTCCACTGTTTTGGGGTGGCAGTGTAGCTTTGAATTATATGTGTAGAGCGTAATTTACAAACTTTTTGCGTCTTCCATGCTTATTTAGCATGAAGGTCCCAGTTCCTGTTATGTGGTGTGAAAGCATCTCACGAAAGTGGCCTGGAGCTTCAAAAGTCCCTGGTCAAGACAGCCCAGGAACTCAGGAGTCGGGAACCAGGTCCACGAGAGAGCTCCCTATAACCCTAAACGGATTCTTACGTTGCTGAAAGAGTCAGAAAGATTTAAAAACATCCATACAAAGACGACACATTTAGGTTACGGTAAATCTGCTCGGCGTCTCTGTGCTGGAACATTCCAGCACGGTCTTGGTGTGCTGTGTTCTCACGGAAAAACAGCAGACTTCTCTGAACTTTAATGACCAAATGCTGCACGGTTACACGTCATCTTAACATCTTCCTTCGTGCTCTTTCAGAATCACTTGCGGATTGCTCTGCCAGCGGCCGGAAATCACTACAGAGAGTGGTGAAGGCGGCAGAGTACATCACAGGCATGAGTCTCCCTGCTATTCAGGACATTCATCTCCAGCGGTGCCTCCGTAAAGCACACAGCATCATCAAGGACCACGGCCATCCAGCACGACAGCTGTTCTCCTCGTTACCGTCCGGCAGACGATACAGGAGTCTGTCTGCTCGGACTACAAGACTAAAAAATAGTTTTTATCATCAAGCCATTCGACACCTCAACTACAACACTTGAACACACACACCACACTTCACTGGATGCACACACAAACTGTCCTATACAATACAGACTCAGGTACACTTTGCACTTCATTTTTATTTTTATAAAAAATAAAAGTAAAAAAACTCTTACTCTGAGCAATACTGTTAACTGCCACCTTAAATCACTGACAATTGTACTGCTGTTCACTCTTGTCACTTTATTTCATGTGCAATAACGTTGTCCCCCCCCCCACCTCAGTACATGCCAGTGGTTACATATTTTTTTTTTTGTTTTACAAGTTTAACTTTATATTGTTATTTCTTTCTGCTATATTGTGGTGAGACTTGTCTACTCTCGTCAATCACATTTCATTATAATGCTGACCCTGTGCTAACTTGCATATGACAAATAAAACAATCTGGCTTCCAGGTCCATCCAGACGACGACGTTCTGCCCTGACCACCCCTGCACTCTTCAGTGTGGGTACCGACATAACAAGAGTTTTGAGCTACAATTCAGCAGCTCTTGATTTGCTGATGATCCATTCGGGGGCGCTCACAGGGTTGCTCTGGGTCTTCTGACTGACAGAGGCCAGCCGGACGAGAAACTTAACAGGGGGCCAGTTTGGGTGCCGCAAGACAGTGGGACATTTCCGGCTAAAAGTAGCATCAAGGCCGTCATTTAAATGACAAGCCACTGCACCCTACACGGGCGGGCGCGGGCGACCAGGCCCAGACCTGCTTAATGACACTCAGAGATACCTCTTGGGAAAGAAGAGCACGCCGATTACACATTTACACACTCAGGTTACACACCTTTCTCTCCTGTAGGGGGTGATAACAGCCAATGTTTTGCGGCGCTTTGCTGGACAGCTCAAAACCCATAAGATTAAGCAGGCTACAGGAGACCAGACGAATGAAGGCAGTGCCATGTTAAAGAACATTCTTGGGTGTAATAGAATGTTCTGGGGTGTTGCCCAGAGAAACCTCTGCAGAGAGCCAACAGTCAGATATAAGTGTACAGTTTTCATTTCTGTGATGATTTAAAATTTGTGGCATACATTCCTGTTACACACCCTACAGGAAGTCTGCACATCCCTCATCAATCTGCCGTTAAGCCTAACCCGGCAGGCAGTCCACCCATCCCTCATCAATCTGCCGTTAAGCCTAACCCTGCAGTCTGCACATCCCTCATCAATCTGCCGTTAAGCCTAACCCGGCAGGCAGTCTTCCCATCCCTCATCAATCTGCTGTCAAGCCTAACCCGGCAGGCAGTCCACCCATCCCTCATCAATCTGCTGTCAAGCCTAACCCTGCAGTCTGCACATCCCTCATCAATCTGCCGTTAACCCTAACCCTGCAGGCAGACTCCACATGCCTCAATCTGCTGCTTACCACCAACTCTAACCTGCTCATGTGCACATTACAGGTGCAATACGTGTGTAACAATTTGTCTAGTGACGCTCAGAGTCGCTGTCCTTCGTAAGTTTTTTCGTTCGCATTCCACACACGCACACACAGATGTACACCATAGAGCAGTTCTTCCGAGACACACGTGCTGGCGTACACATCGCCAAAGTCCACGGTAAGACAACTGACCTTTTGGTAGGAGTGGGAGCCCCGGACGACATCACCATCGTATCATTCATGTTGCCAGCCAGGGGACGGGGGGGCCTGAAACAGAGACGTTGGGTTAATGGACCGTCAGACCCATGAAGCTGGGTCTCCCTTGTCTTTGAGACAGCACACGCCTCAGAGGTGAGGGAAAAACTACAGGCTTAAATATGGGAAAAACTGAATATCAGAATCATTCCGTTAAGAGTTTATTCAGAATATGTACAACAGCAGGAAGATAAACGGTAACCAATATTGAGACTGAAATTTGATTATTCAGGAGATGGAGGAGAAGAACAACAAAACATTGAAAGCAGCGAGGAGGGAGGGCTCGTTATGTAGTGAGTGATGAATTACGGCCGAATGAACAGCCACTTTCCCACACACTGGAGTCTGGCTGCCAAATAAACAAGCCATTTGCCCTTGGTCCGGTTGCTGAGCTGGGGGGACAGAGGGTGCCTGAACCTCCCCCCCCCCCGGCGGTGTGTGCCGAGATGCCTGCCTCCTGCATACCGCTAATTTCAGCTAGATAAACCCCCCACCCCCCCCCCCCCACACA